AGTGAAAAAAAAGCAGCCCTCTTTTTGAGAGGGGGCTGGGCCCCTGAACCATGAATAACTAACCCACCTCTTGACATGTTTACTAATTGAGTCGCGGAGTATGCTGACTACGATGGTGAACAAACGGCTATCTTTTGTGTTTTCCAAGACCGGGGGGAAGAAAAGAGGCAGTAAATTTGGAGCATTAGCTCAATAAAGTCATTTTCCCTTCCACGTGCAGGTCTCTGATAATTAACCCTTGGTTCTTAGAGCCGACATTTCATGTTGGCATCTTAACTGGGCATCTTTATTGTATGTGAGGCTTTTATTTATTTATATCCATATATTCTTGGAAGTTTGCTAAATAACGTGCAATCTGCATAATGAGGCGCCAGGCTGAGAAAGTAACATTCTGGTTGCTACACTTCGTTCTGCAGGTGGCAAAAAGGGCAATCTCTTTCCCTGCATGTAATAAACTGGCTTATCTGAAAGATTCAGTTCAAATTCATGGTGCACTTGTTTAAAAAATATGACCCCTTCCTGCTCCTACTTACACTGAAGTGGTATTACCCACAAATAAAGATACAAGGAGGCATTGGTTTCCATTCTGCCCTGCAATTGTCTCATTCAACACTGTTTCCATTCTGATGCAGTTCATCTTCTGCCAAAAACTACATTATTCGTCTAACTGTGGTGGCAAAAGTACATAATGTGGGGTCATTTGCATAATTAATTATGTGAATTGCATTGTAATTATGTTATTCCATCCCATTCATTTCGATGCAAAGAAAACACAATGAAAAGGGGGAGCAAAATGGACTCAGTTATGTAGTGTTTGCAGACTGAAAGCAACAAGAACAGCTAATACAAATCGTGTTCACTGGATTGATTTCCATTCTGGACATGAGACACCGGCAATTTTCCATTTTGGTTGGAATTCTCAGACATTTCTACCCACGAATCCTGCCATCTTAGGTGGGATCTGCACGTACAGCAGAAGAATGTGGGAAAGGAGTGGGTTGCACTCCTTCCAATTTCATGCATGCAAGACTGCATTTTTGTTCAATAATGAGTGACCTTACTCCATCATAATCAGCTCATGAGTCCTGCATTGCAAACTTGGATGCCGTTATTTTAAAATCTTGTGTTATATATGTGTTGGTGTTTTGTTTTTTTGTTTTTGTTTTTGCATGTGTACATGAAAAATGCATCCTGGGACTGTGTCGCATCATAAAGTCGTGCGTCACTTAGGCATGGTCTAAGTAGCTAATTCCATCCAGAATTACTGGCACTCAGTCGCAGATGTGTTCCAACCCATCCCCTTCCATTCTATCCCATTGTACATATTTTGTGCACACTTTTTAATATAAAATATGCACTTTTCAGTGCTTTTCAATGCTTTTGCCAGTAAACATTTATGCAAAATATGTATGTGGGTGTGCACTTTTTGTGCACCAAAGTCCGAGAGAAGTGAGTCATTTCAGAGTTGCATTCCAATCTGCAAGTAAATTCAGAAGCACTGAATGTGGTCAGACCACTGACAAAGGCAGAACAAATGAATTCTTCCCTGATCCTAGCTTTGAAGAACTACCATCCTCCAATACATGTGCAGAAGTGAAAACATTCCATTTGGAGAAAGCAGTTTGAATCCATGCCACCCAAATGGACTTCAGCATGACTCCCCGTAACCTCTGATCAGTTGAGCATTACTCGCACTCAGCATTCTGCTGATCAGCAGTTACAATGACTTCCTTTGAAATTTGGCGGGTGCCAATCACCTGAAGTTATTATGATGCCAGGTGATTGACACGTGCAAATGTTGACCCTTGGGGTAGAGGAATAAAGGATCCAGTTTCCCAGGCGAACCCAGTTCCCCACCCCTGGTCTTCACTGACCAGCAACAGCTCTTCAGCTCAGTCCCACTTGGAAATGCTAGAGATTAAAGCTGGAAACTTTTGCATGCCTCAGTGACATCTCCTCCCCAGTTGCCATGCATTGCTCATGGATGCATAACGTGCAGAAAAATTCAAGCACAAAACACTGAACATGTATCATGTCATCATCTTATTGCAAGACAGTGCACCATAGTGTGCTTGTGAATCTATTGATTGATTTGACTTGATTTTTAAACAAAATGCACCGGTATTACCAGAATAGTTGGGGAACGATCACAAATCAGAGGGGAAGTGTAGACCCTCCAAAAGTGTGATCAGGTAAATCACTCAGAGATGTCGAAGGAACAGATGCCAGCAAAATCCTGGCAGCCGTGTCCCTGTTTACCGCTATCTACATGCCTCTTTTGTTAATGCCGTCCCATCTTTCCAGAGGTCAAATCAATATCTCGCTGCTTTTCATGTCATGCTTATAATATATAATATCTTCTTATGTTAATCTTATATTCCTGAGGTTTTGACGGGCAGCGGTGAAGCAGAATACTAAATGGGTGATTATTCATCATCAGTGGTATTGCATTTCAATGTGGGAGCCTTTCCGATCGATGAAAAGCCTCCCGGATGTTTTGGGGGTCACAAGCGTGATTTACAGAGGGGCATCAAGTGCCCTTACGACTTGGCAATTCTAGACAGCTGTGCAGGTCACCATCCGTTAGGATTGAGCGCTGCTCCCACATATTTATGGGTGGAGCTGCAAGTAAGGGGGGAGGCATCCAACTGCATTTTCCTCAGAGTAGACCCTTTGAAATTAATGACCATAACTAAGTGAGGTCCATTCATTTCAAGGGGTTTTCTCTGAGCAGAACGTAGTTGGATACAATCGTAGAAGCCAATCTTGTGTTTGTCAAGGACTGGGGAAGTAATATTTTCAGGAGAAAATGAGTGAGGGGAAATAATCTGTAACCATTTTCCTGCTTGTCAATTCTCCCCAGCAGATTTCCTCACCACATGTGGTGCTGCAGCCTGTTCTTGAGAAGGTAGGCTGATAGAGAACGGAAGAAAGTCTGGGTAGGGGTGGAAATGTTAAACATGCTTTCCTCTCCCCGCAGATTCTCCCCAACATTCATATTCCCTCAGCAAACATAAGAAGAAGCCCTTGCTGAGGCAATATGTAGCTCGGCCAGAGGAACACTGCCTAGCTACAGAATGCTGTTGCCAGCTTTTCTTTTTAACCAGCCTGGCCTGCTCCTATGCCTTTAACAGCAGGTGGGTTATTTCCCTTTTTTAAAGAAAATAACATAAAATAACATACAAGAATAAAAGCAGTTGGATTTCAAAGCTCACACCGGTGAATGTTGCTCCCCCTCTATGTTGTGAAAGACTTCATAGAATCATAGAATCATAGAGTTGGAAGAGACCACAAGAGCCATCAAGTCCAACCCCCTGCCAAGCAGGAAACACCATCAGAGCACTCCTGACATATGGTTGTCAAGCCTCTGCTTAAAGACCTCCAAAGAAGGAGACTCCACCACACTCCTTGGCAGCAAATTCCACTGTCGAACAGCTCTTACTGTCAGGAAGTTCTTCCTAATGTTTAGGTGGAATCTTCTTTCTTGTAGTTTGGATCCATTGCTCCGTGTCCGCTTCTCTGGAGCAGCAGAAAACAACCTTTCTCCCTCCTCTATGTGACATCCTTTTATATATTTGAACATGGCTATCATATCACCCCTTAACCTCCTCTTCTCCAGGCTAAACATGCCCAGCTCCCTTAGCCGATCCTCATAAGGCATCGTTTCCAGGCCTTTGACCATTTTGGTTGCCCTCCTCTGGACACGTTCCAGTTTGTCAGTGTCCTTCTTGAACTGTGGTGCCCAGAACTGGACACAGTACTCCAGGTGAGGTCTGACCAGAGCAGAATACAGTGGCACTATTACTTCCCTTGATCTAGATGCTATACTCCTATTGATGCAGCCCAGAATTGCATTGGCTTTTTAGCTGCCGCGTCACACTGTTGGCTCATGTCAAGTTTGTGGTCAACCAAGACTCCTAGATCCTTTTCACATGTACTGCTCTCAAGCCAGGTGTCACCCATCTTGTATTTGTGCCTCTCATTTTTTTGCCCAAGTGCAATACTTTACATTTCTCCCTGTTAAAATTCATCTTGTTTGTTTTGGCCCAGTTCTCTAATCTGTCAAGGTCGTTTTGAAGTGTGATCCTGTCCTCTGGGGTGTTAGCCCCCCTCCCAGTTTGGTGTCATCTGCAAATTTGATCAGGATGCCCTTGAGTCCATCATCCAAGTCGTTGATAAAGATGTTGAATAAGACCGGGCCCAAGACAGAACCCTGTGGCACCCCACTAGTCACTTTTCTCCAGGATGAAGAGGAACCATTGATGAGCACCCTTTGGGTTCGGTCAGTCAGCCAGTTACAAATCCACTGAGTGGTAGCATAGTCAAGACCGCATTTTACCAGCTTCTTTACAAGAATATCATGGGGCACCTTGTCAAATGCCTTGCTGAAATCAAGGTAGGCTACATCCACTGCGTTCCCTTCATCTACCAGGCTTGTAATTCTGTCAAAAAACGAGATCAGGTTAGTCTGACATGACTTATTTTCAGAAATCCATGCTGACTATTGGTGATCACAGCATTCCTTTCTAGGTGCTCACAGACTGTTTGCTTAATGATCTGCTCCAGAATCTTCCCTGGTATTGATGTCAGACTGACTGGACGGTAATTATTTGGGTCCTCTCTTTTCCCCTTTTTGAAAATAGGGAAACATTTGCCCTCCTCCAGTCTGCCGGGACTTCGCCTGTTCTCCAGGAATTCTCAAAGATGACTGCCAGTGGTTCTGAGATCACATCTGCCAGTTCTTTTAATACTCTTGGATGCAGTTCATCTGGCCCTGCAGACTTGAATACATCTAAACTAGCCAAGTATTCTTGTACTATCTCCTTAGTTATTCTGGGCTGTGTTTCCTCTGCTGAATCATTTGCTCCAAATTCTTCAGGTCGGGCATTATTTGAGGGAAGCCCTGACTGTTTATATTGGTGTCATGGTGCTTTAAATGTAAGGTGCGAATGTGGCCACTGTATGTCAGGGTTTCAGGAGAAGACATTCCCAGCTTGACTTGGAGATGATGGGAATTGAACCTGTGGGCTTTTGCATGCAAGGCAGATGCCCTACCACTGAGCTGCTGTCTCTCCATTGCTGAATCAGACCTTTTGTCTGCCTTGACTACTCCAAATCACCTAGTAACATAGAGGGCTGCATTGCATTGAATAAGACCATTGTCCCATTGATCTCATTATTGTCAACACTGAATGGCAGCTGCTCCTGAGGGCTTCAGGCAGGGGGTCTTTCCCAGTACCTGGTGATTCAGGGATTTAACCTGGGACCTCCTGCATGCAAAGCATGCTCTCTTCCACTGAGCTATGACTCTTTCCTTGTACTGCTTAAGTCCAGAAACATAGCATTCTCTCTCTCTCTCTCTCTCTCTCTCTCTCTCTCTCTCTCTCTCACACACACACACACACACACACACATACAGAGCTCCCTGCTTTTGTTTAGCTTCCTCCATACAGCGAGGTCAGAGCTAGGAATGTTATGGAGAGTGTCGTGTTTAAAGCTGGAATTAACAAGGGCTCTCCAGGAAGAACGAAAAAGGTATAAATTATGTCTGATTGAACAAACACAACTCCACTGTTGAACAGCCACTCAATGGAGAGGGCAGGGAGAGGCAATGGAGCATGGTAATGTGTAATATTACTAGTCAATGGGCTGTGTGTAGCACCAGGTTCCCAAATGCTGGAGATGTCAGGGAGATAAATAGCAGAGTGTCCTCCTCAAAAATATGATTAATACCCTCTTCGGTCCACTGCTGAAGATGTAGTGGGTGCAGCTGGTTTGGACAGCAGTTGCGGAGAGGAAAAAATCCAGGACAATTGCAATGGAGCAGAGAGGGCAAAGAGTAGGACAGACAGTCAAGTCAGGGGGAGTGCCAAGCGTTGATGAGAGAGGAGAATTTGGCCAGAGCCTGGAAAAGGTCTCCTTTGGTGGCTGTTTTAGGTATGTTTATGGGACTTTCATGCGTGCTCAGCTGGGGCTTGAGTGCAAGATCTCTGCAGAAGGGGAGGGGGAGAGGATTGTAAAGCACTTTGAGTTCACTGTGCTTCAGAACACACAGGACAGACAGAGCTTTCAAGAGTAGCTCTTCTTCTTCTGCATTGTTTCTCCTAGGGCTACCAACAGCTATGGCAGAGAAGCAGAACACAGCTGCATCGCTGACCATGGGTTGATTCTTCAAAGCAAGAAGGAAATAAGTGGTATAGCATAGGAGTAGCAGGTAGAAAGAAAGCCATGAAATCTGCACAAGAATGTAAGAAGAGCCCTGTTGGATCACACCAAAATCCCATCTGGTGAACATGAGTACAACAGCGACTCACCGCCCTTGCAAGTCCCAAAAATTGGCATTCAGCTGTATACCACCACTGACACTGCAGGTAGCAAGTAGCCATCATGGTTAGTAGCCATTGATAATCTTATCCCCTTCTTTGTAAGCCTAAACAGCCTCAGCCCAGTGTACCTGAAGGAGCATCTCCACCCCCATTGTTCAGCCCGGACACTAAGGTCCAGCTCTGAGTGCCTTCTGGCGGTTCCCCCACTGCGAGAAGTGAAGCTACAGGGAACCAGGTAGAGGCACTTCTTGTAGTAGTGCCCACCCTGTGGAACACCCTCCCATTAGATGTCAAAAAAATAAACAACGATCTGACTTCTGGAAGACTTCTGAAGGCAGCCCTGTTTAGGGAAGTTTTTAATGTTTGATGTTTTATTGTGTTTTTAATATCCTGTTGGGAGCCACCCAGAGTGGCTGGGGAAACCCAGTCAGATGGGCGGGGTATAAATAATAAATTATTACAGTCATACCTTGGATCCCGAATGCCTTGTGAGTCAAACGTTTTGGCTCCTAAACGCCTCAAACCTGGGAGTGAGTGTTCCGATTTGTGAACGTTCTTTGGAAGCCAAAAAATGTGTTGCAACTTCCACAGCTTCCGATTGAGTTCAAGAAGTTCCTGCAGCCAATCGGAAGCTGTGCTTTGGTTGCCGAACATTTTATGAAGTCGAATGGGCTTCCAGAACGGATTCCGTTCGACAATCAAGGTACAACTGTATTATTATTATTATTATTATTATTATTATTATTATTATTATTATATCTTGGTTTAACAACAGCTTAGTTTATGAACAACTTGGATTAAGAACGCTGCAAACCCGGAAGTAGGTGTTTTGGTTTGTGAACTTTGCCTTGGAATAAGAACATGTTTTGCTTCCTGTTGAGTGTGTTCCATTTGTAAATTGAGTCCCCCGCTGCTATGGGAAAGCACGCCTTGGTTTAAGAACGCTTTGGTTTAAGAACAGACTTCCAGAACGGATTAAGTTCGTAAACCAAGGTACCACTGTATTATTATTATTATTATTATTATTATTACTATTATTATTATTATTATCCAAGTTGGTGGCCTTAACTGCATAATGTGGCATCAAATTCCAGATTTTTGGCACTGTGTGAAAAAGCACTTCCTTGAGTCTGTCCTGCAAGCTTTGTCAGTCAGATTCAGTGGCTGACCTCAGATTCTAGTATTATTATGTCTCCTGGTTCAAACATGACTGTTTGAATCACTGTTCTTTTACACATACACACCCAGCTATAATATTGGGATAACACCGGTATTCTTTATAGGGTTGTTGATTTCTGAGATACGTGTATAAAGTAGTCAGAACACCTGAATTCATTCAAAGTAGCTAGGTGTTCCCTTACCACCTCTCTTCCAAAATTGGGTTTCAGATCCCTCCTTGCATCATTTATTCTGTTATCACCAAGTTGAGCACTGCTTTCCTTTCAGTCTAAGACAGAGGCATTGTCTGTTGGGCAGTTCAACCTTCCTTTGGTCACATAATAGCATTTCTCCATCTTCTCCATGCAAAGGAGCTGCTACTTGCTTGTTCTTCTCTTGCTTTAAACATAGCTGAAGAAACCATTCTCATGAAACTGAAGCATCTTGTGTTTTCAGTATTCCTAATGCTTTGGAGCATTTGGTGGCTAAAAAGTTCCCCTTTAATGCAGATCAGGTGGCTCTAGGATGCAGGAGAAAGGGACCCTGCAAGGACTCTGCTACAGAAATAGTAGCAGGTCTTTGACCTCCCACGACCTTACATCACTACACTACTGCCAAGGACAGTGTCAGAACCAGTGGATTCTACCAGAGTTCTGCAGCTCTGCCAGGTGCCAACACTGGACCTGGTTTACAGTGTATAATAAACACTTTGGATGTTAATTCCTAATTTATTTTGAGAGAGTTTCCAGCCAAGTTTAAATAGAATCCTTGGATTTAAGCCAGTTCAGCCCCATTGCTTAATAATTCAATAAGGCTCCTTGTGGCCTAATCCGTAAAGCAATTAAACAAGGGCACTTGGAATCACAAGATCATTTCGTTCCTTTCCTAAATGATCAGCTGATGTTTAAAGCATGAGTTCTTTTCCTCTTGCACTCATCTAAGTCTGTATCAAATGCTTTCTTCAGAAATAGTTGGGTCTCTCGATCAAAAGAAAAACTAAAGACATTGCTGGATTTTGAGAGGCTGCACCCAGCACATAAAGTTGCCAATTACCGGTAGGTCTCCAAAATTAAATATCTGGCTCTAACATTTGACATCCATGTTAGAGCATGAGTGGAAATCTCTTTCTAAATACTCTTCTGAAGAGTCATGAGATCCAGGGGAATTTGCCTTCCATCTAGCTATCGCAGCCCAAACAGAGATAAACTGTTCATTTCCTTTAGACATAACACTTTGCAGTGGCCTTATTCTGCATATTCAGCTGACAGTTTTCAAGTGTCCAGAAATCAAGTAAGGTGCAACTAAGTTTTGATAACTGTAACATACCCGTGTTAATTCCCCTCATTCAAAAGACCCAATGGTCAGCTCAGTGTCAGGATTTTAATAGCTCCAATGAACAGCTCATCACCAAGGCTTGTGTAGCACCATGCTGATCATCTGCACAGGCACGTATGGGTCATCTGACATTATCAGGATACGGCTGATTCTCCCAGCCCTACCTGGAGAAGCTGGGGATTGAACCTGAGGGCTATGTCATGCAAAGCAGCTGTGCTACCACTTAGCTAAAGCCCTCCACCAAACAAAGCTACTAGACAGGCAGGTTACCTCTTTATGACTCTGCACTCTTCAGGTAAGGGGCAGATGCTGGAAGCAAGAACCTGGACCAAGAGGATTAAAAACCATAGGGGGAAACACCATCCAACCCGCAGTGGAGCAAATTGTCCTCTTGGAGCTATCCATGGTCCTGCAACTCAGGCTCAACGACAGAGCATCTGCTTTGTATGCAGAAGGTTGTGGGTTATATCCCCAGTATCTTTAGGTAGGATTGATGCCAGTCAGTACAGACAACACTATGCTAGATGGACCAATGATCTGACTCAATACCAGGCATCTTCTTATGTTCCTAACTTCATTCTGACCTGTCCTGCATGCATTACCCTCAAGTTTCTGCATTCTGTGTTGCCCTTCACTCACAGTTAGAACAGAATATGAGCAGACCTTCTTCTTTCCATGCAGCTAGGTAGAATTCTTCCTGAACATTTTTCTTGATATCTCCATCAGTAAAAATTGACTAGGAAGTTACTGCTTTTTATTAATCTATCCACGCCCTACAATTGTATAGTTTTATACTAAAAATGCTGCTACCTCAATAGAGTTGTGATTAATCACTGATCCATGGCAATTAACAGATTAAAATGAGAAACATTCTAGTGTATAATGTGCAGAAGACAGACAGCACCACAGCCTCTATGAACAATTCTATCCAGCAGTGAAATCTGAAATATTTACAGATCTGTACTGCATCCTTTCTGTGATGCTACCAAAAATTGTTTCACTGCATTATTGAGCTGTTCCAGTTAATTTGAGCACTTGGGCCAAAATTGAGTAAAAGGTGTGAAACATATAGCTGCAAACATGATGATACACATTTTGCCCCCCACACACAATTGAAGGGGGGTTTTCCAGTGAAAACTACTAATTTCTGATAGCCAACATAGCTAGCAATCTTACTAGTGTCATAGGCTGTTGGGAAAAGGCTACTGAGATTATTCATCCTACATCAGGGATGGGGAACCTTGGGCTCTGGGGACAGTTATATAATTATATTACTAAGATAAGGTAAAAAGAAAAAGAAGAAAAAACACTCCGGGCACTCTGAAGAGTGCTGAATATGTGCAGTGGAAAAGAAACCCATTGGTGAATTCAACTACCTCTTCTGAATTTAATTCATATCCTCCTCCTCATTTTCTAATAATAAATGGCCAGAGTACCAAATCAGCTGCTTGGTTCCCCCTAGCCCACTTTATTTTAAATATTGGCAACA